TTTTTTTTAATTTTTTTTTATCAGGAAATCGCGTCAAGATGATGATGTATGTGCGTGTGCGCATATGATTGTGGTGGGGAGGGGACGGGAAAGAAGAGAGGGAAAGGAAGGGTCGGTGGGAGGGGATGTACGTCAGTTTTGGGAGTCTAAAGAACCACATTTGTTTTTGTTAACGTTTTTAGACGTTGCAAAACATTCTTTCTTCATTTGCATAGTATGTTTTAAAAGGTTTTATTACTAGACAAGAAATCATTTCAATTGGGAGCACAACTCTGATTAAAAGCCGTGAGAACATGAATTAGTGTTTATCGCTGTTTATTTGGTGAGCCCATCGAACATACAACTGATCACTGATCGTTAGGAGTAGCAGAGAAAATGTACATGGGGGTTACAAGATGAAAATAACACACCGCGTTTTACATACTAGTGTTATAGAAGGGACTAGATGGGTGTGTGTTGTCAGTCATCAATTGAATTTTCACAGGAGCCATTATCGGGGACGTCTCCGTCCCCGATTATGGCTACTGATTTTCAGCGATGTTTCAGCTATTAGTTAAAAATACAGCCCATTTAACAGCTAGAAGCAAACTGATTACATCTCAGATCTCAGTTATACCGTATTTACTCGAATAAGTACCGCCCCGAATAAGCATCCTCCTCTAATAAGCGCCGCATTCAGGACAGAAAAGTTAAAAAGCGCCGAGGTCCCGATGCGGCGCTTATTCGAGGAATTCCGTATAACTAAAAAATCACTACAAAGCAACTCCAAAGCAGCATTGGAAATTTCTTTTCCATCAAAGCGATGCTAGTCTAGTCCGTTCAAAGTGATTATTCTCTGTCCAGAATTCTTACAATACGTAGATCTGGCGCTCAGCCTGCCAGCACAGCAAGACCAACTTCTCTTTTCTTTTTCCCAGTTGTTTTCAGCGTTCGCTTCCAGAAAGTTTTTCAAAAAGCGCGAAAGTTCAACCAGAACGTGACCAGCAAGCAATAAGCGCCGCCCTCAAGTGAGCGCAGCATTCGAGGAGCTAAAAAATTTTTTGGGCGCGGTCTCTTTTGTCCTAAGAACGCAGAAAGCGATATTTGAGAGCCGATCTGCGAAAATCGTATTTGTTTTGTTCTTTCCCGCAGTTTCTGTATCCTACCACCCGGATTATAGAGCAAAAGGGAGACTGCGCACTATGCTAAAAGTATCGTTATAGTGTAGAGAACACATCAACGCAATAGTAAAGCATTGGTAAAGAGGTGTACCGCAATTGGAACTTTAACATCAGCCAGGCACTGACACGAGCGCGAAACGTGGCAGTGACGGCGGAAAGCGAGTTTTTCCTCGCACTCTGCACCCGCCCTTCTGGCCACTCGCGCTCTGGCCTGCTAAATCGCCGATATTGGCCTCATTGGCATAAGCGATTTAGTTTATTATCGTGCTGCAGAAATATTAATTCTGAATATTGAAAGGGTATAGCACAATTAACTGTCTCGATGAATTTGAGCCCGATGTATTAAATACTTTTTAGGCGAGGAGGATTTAAAACATTCTAAATTTATTATCTCCTTCAATACGAAGAGCTGAAAATTTGATCACGCATGAAGTTTACAACTGGAAGACAATTTGTATCTAAGGCCTCGTCCACACTATGCCGGAGGAATTTGAAAAAGAAGGTTTCACTCTGAAAACGCATCCAATGCTGATTTTCCGGTCCGTCCACACTACGCCGGAGGAATTTAAAAATGCAACAATCACCGGCCATTTAATTTTGGATTTGTGTTTGAGGAAAACTCGATCAGGGAATTTACATGATTATCGTGGCGTCATCTTTTACGAAAATCTCCGTTTCCAAAATGTTTTCCATCCGCACGAAAACGAAAAGCCGGCGTTTTCAAATTCCTTCTGGTTTGAAGAGCGTTTTCGAAAGGCTCCGTTTTCGTGACAGATTAGTGTGGACGGTAGGCCTAACCGTAGAAATAAAGCTGCGTTTTCAAATTTCTCCGGCGCTGCCTAAAATGCCTTCTCTGTGCAAAGTCGTATGCTAATGAGGCAAAATGCAGACAAGGAGCAGCAAGGATTGCCCCCCCCCCCGGATCGTTCGGGCGCAGCGCCAAAAACTGACGGAACGCAAAAAGGAGAGATGCTTGGTGTAAGAAGCGTTCTCACCCTTAATTCTTTCGTGCGCCATTTTGCGCGCTCCCCCAACTAACTGGACACCTGGAAGAGGCCTGGAGTGCCTTATTCTACAGGCTAGTATTGGGATAAAAGATTTCAAACGCTGTAAAGGGCAGCCCGAATTTCCTTTAGAGCTCTGCGGCCATGGTTTCGTATTGCTCTGTTTATTCGAAATATTTAATCACAACAATCATTTTTAGGGATATTGAGCAATAAGCTGCATTCAGTCATTTCCGAGATGGTTTCCCGGGGGGGTACCCCCTTATATGGGCTATATAGGTATGTGCGTCCCCAAAGGGTACAGTATTTCAGCCGTTTCGCTCATAAATAGGGTATCGATTTTGGCCACTTCGGCCTAAATAGGGTATGGGTTTTGCGCTCTAGTCTTGAATCGGGTATGTTTTTTAGAAGCTAATTTTTCATCATTATCGAGAAGACCATAAACAAGAGCCCTTCAAAAATTATATTTAAGGCAACTGTGTCAGCCCCAACGGTCACAAATAGGGTATCAAATTTTTGGTCTGGTCATAATTAGGGTAGGAAAATGGCAGATTTTGGTCATAAATAGGGTAAGGGTTTTGGGAAGCAGGTTGCACACCCCCACCAAATTTTTCAGGGAGTACCCCCCTCCCCTGGTGGTTGCTTGTTACCCCTTTTTAAAATGGAGTCCTGCTGTACATCTTTTCATATGGAAACAAGTTTGATTTCCATGACAGTGAAAGTGCAAAAAAAACTCACTTCCATATGAAAGGTTGTGCACCCAGACCTGTTTTGAAACAGAGGTAACAAGAAACTTGGAAATGGGTTACTGGTACACCAGTGAAAACAAAACTGAACAGGAAATAATTTGAAATCCATGCAGTCAACAGGGACAATCTTTTTGTTAATCATGCACTTCTCCCCATCACTGCTGAGGACTGCTACCAGAACTGAGTAAGGCAAAACACTCATCTGGGGACTGGGGTCAGGATGCACAAGGTTTGTTACAGAGGGATGTTAGATGACAATCAGGGTAAATTAGGAAGAAAACTCAACTTAGCTTTTGATTAACTTGAGGCTGATAGAGGCAAATTACCTATAAAGGCAAATTACCTGCTGCAGTATGTTTGTGAAGCTAACATTTTGAGCATTAGCCCTCCGTCAGAGCACTTCTGACACAAGAATTACCCTTGACCATGATAAGAACAAGGCTATGTAAAACCTCAAATTGCAACCTTTTTATTTATATACAAATATAAATACAATGCCGCAACACAATGATAGTAAAAGACATGTCTTTCAGACCTGTGTTTTCACTAATTCAATACAATGATTAGTGGAGTAACAATGGGGTCACTCCTTTAAATCAATCCATTAAAACATTTTTAGACTCAGAGCAACTAAGAATGCTCACAAAGGTTCTACAGAAAAAAGTTTAAGTATGTTAATTTGCAGTGTGGCCAGGATCTATCCTCCATTATTCTTTGTAATGTTCCAGGGTTCTTGCGGAAGGATCAGTGGCATTAGTCCACTTTGGCATCCACACATATGGAATAAAATGGCTCTGACCAGGAAACAATTCTTCAAAAATCTGGCGGTAGTAAAAGCCTTCCTTGGTCTTAGGAGTGTTGTACGGGTACAGTTCAGCAGCACCAGCCAAGGCCTCATCAGGAACCTGGTTTTTGATGTGATTCTGTAACAGCTCATACCATGACTGCCCAGGCTTGGTAGATGACACTCCATCAGAGAATGCCTCCTTAGCACGCCACAAAATCTCTTTGGGTAAGGCATCAGTGTTATCAAAAGAGGCTCGAAGAAGCCACTTCTCAATGCCATCCTTAGGTTGGCGGATCTCTGGATTAAGGGACAGGAAATAAGATGTGAAATGAACATCCAGGAAAGGTACTCGGATTTCTAGACCATGTGCAGCAGTTGACCGGTCACCTCGCAGAACATCATAAAGGTAAAGATCTTCCAGCAGTCTTCGGGACTCTAGGTCAGCTTCCTCTGGGCTTGGAGCTTTGTGGAAATAGATGTAACCTTGACACAGCTCATCAGAACCTTCACCAGAGTAAATAACCACCGTGTCAGTTTCTTTACTTATGTACTTGCTCACCAGATACATTCCCACAGAAGCACGGATTGTTGTTATGTCCCAAGTCTCCAGGGCATAAATGACATCGCGTAATGCTTGGATTCCTTCTTCAGCTGTGAAGATGACCTCGTGATGTTCACTACCTGAAAGAAAAGACAAATTCACTAACTTGACCTAATGGCTTCTTGCTCTTAACCAACAATCCAATGTTAAATAATTCCTAAAAAAAAGAATTCTTGAGCACTCACAGGGTAAATACAGAAGATTTCTTGCAAAGGAGATCCCTCTAGAGAAGCCATCTGCCATGCACACTGCAGGTGAAACCCTTTTTACTAAATATACCCCCAACCTTAACCTTAAGACCCTTCCCCAATCATTCTTATTCCTTTGAGCACTTCTGTATCCACTTTTCTCAGAGATCCACTTTTCAAGACTCAACTTACCAATATGGTTGGCCACTATCCGTGCTGCTGCAACATCTGTACTTCCTTCCATTCCAATTGAGAATGTTTGGATTGGGTAGTCAATCCCACTTTCCTTTGCCAGCTTGGTCAGATAAGAAGCCACTAAACTGGAATCCAGGCCTCCTGAGAGCAGACAGCCAATTCTACGGTCAGCCATGAGGCGTTTACGCACTGCCTCAGAAAACAGCTTTCTGATATTTTCCATGACATCGCTGGAGTCTGGCTTTACACTGGTTTCAAACACTGGTGGCTTGCCTATCTTTGTGTAGGCTTTTTGCTCAATAAACGTAGTTTGTCCATCGGGGGACAAGCTATATGATGCATACTGACCTGGAAAAAATGGCTTCACAACAATTTTACTGCCATTTTTTTCAAACTGCTTGATCAGAGGGACAAGAGCTTTCGCTTCAGAGCTCAGAGCCAAAATTCCTGTTTCCTTGCCAGCCACAGACAATGTAAACAATGGACGGATCCCAAAAGTGTCTCTTCCAATGTGTACTTCTTTGTTCTTAGTGTCAATGATACAGAATGCAAAAACACCATCCAGCATTTGCGCCATTTTCTCTGCTCCAAACTTGTCATAAAGATGTAGAATGACTTCTCCATCACATTTTGTGAAAAAGTCAAAGTCGTACTGCTTTCCAACTGCTTTGTGGTTGTATATTTCCCCGTTGTAAATAAGGTAGAGGTGTGGTAGTGCTTTAATCCTCATTGGCTGCATTCCATAGAGATCATCAACAATGGCAAGCCGGTGAAATGCCACACAGCAGTTCTGGAAGTGAGGAATGGTCTCCATACGGAAGACATCAGGTCCTCTTTGGCAGATTTTCATGGCACAGCTGGCATACTTTGAGTACTCTGGGATACCAAATATAGCCCAGATACCACACATTTTGCACAGTAGTTTAAGCTCCCACCTGAAATTACAAGTCGAAATGTATTATTAATATGTAAGTACTACTTTCTACAGGAGCACAAGGGTGTCTGAAAAACCCAAATAGTGAATAATCGTGAACAGCGAATAGTACGAATAATCTTGAATAGTGCAAATAGTGGCGAAAATTTATGAATAGTCGCAAATAGTGACAAAGAGTCATCAACAGTCACCACTTCAGTTCAGCACTGATCTGGATTCGTTGAAATTGATCACATGGAGCAATAGCATTTATCCACGGATGCTGATAGATTCAACCAAGCTGGAGAAATTATATTTCATAGATAAGCTTATATTATTCCCAAGGCAAGTAGTTGTTTGAATTTTATCATCTGTGCAGTTGTTGCAGTACAGTTTGCAGCTGTTGTTATAATCTAGGGCAAAAATATTACTTCATATCAGGGGCGGATCCAGAAAATTTAAAAAGAGGGGGCCGAAGAAAATCCCATCCCATGTTAATTGCTGCGAGTTTGACTGTGAGGTGCTGGGTACCAAATTTCTGTCATTTGTCACTATCCCTCCTCCCTTAATAGCCACTATTTGCCACTATTCCCGACTATTCACGACTGTTTGCCAGTATGCAGACTATTTGAGACTATTCACATTACTCATACTATTCGCACTATTTGTACTATTTGTACTATTCGCACTATTCGCTATTTGCGACTATTCGCTATTTTCTATTCGGGTTTTCCAGACACCCAGAGCACACTTCTTGAAATTCAATTAGATAACTGAAAAAATGAAGCAAGTTTCTTGAAAAATTTTAACTTGAACTTGTCTCCAGGGTTTATCCAAGGCCAAAAATAGATAACAGTGTTGTCCAGTCAACATTTCAGTTCTCTTAAATATACAAGGTATGAAAGAAATGGGGACCCTTATTGCTCAGACAGACTGGGGCCATAACAACAAATTACAGCACCCTAGCTAAAGCTATGACAACCATCCATTCAAATGACAAGTTAGCTAGATCACCAGGGTTGCTGATGTAGGTTAGGAGTTTTGGCAAACATTTTTCAGTCGCTTAATCGCGTGACTGACCCCCTGTGTTGATTTCCAAAACTATCATCACCGCTGGTGATTATTAAAGCTGTGGCTTTTCAAGCGTAAACACACTGAGTAAGCTTGTGTTAAAAGAGAAGTGTTTCAAACACAAGGCATTACGATCTGATTTTGAAATCACCCAGGAAACCCGTCGAATTATTGTGGTCGAAAAACTCTCCAAAAATAAATTACAAAGGTCCCATTCAGTAACGATTTTACTCCTTTGTATAAGCTTTGTCTTACGTGGCAAAGCGGCTGAACGCGAAAGATTATACTTAGGCGACTCCCGCTTTTCAAGTAAATATCTGTGAGCAAGATGTCAACTACGCAAGCAAGATCTACGCGAAGAAGTCTACATGACAAATTCTTACCAAGTTGCGGCTTCCAGACAAGTAAATTCAGAAGAACAACCTTGAGTATACGGTTAGGAATTCTGATGCAATCCTGAATCGATTCGAGGACGACCACGTGCCAGGGAGTCGAGTATCCTGGCAGTATCTGATTGGCTGCTTTCAAGCGTTTTCAAGCCATAATCAAGACATCTATCGCATTACCATATACATATTACTGAGAGCCCGGCTGACTATTGTTCCTAGAGACAGGCTAATGGGAACTCTAGTCAATGTCTAGGCTCAATTCCAGCGTCACCCTCGAACTACGAACATCCAGTCTACATCCCTACGGGTAATTTCCTTGGCAGCCGCTCGGGACAAAGTCACGCAACGCTCTCTGGGGACGGGGAGCTTTACGTGACTTCGGCCCGAGTGGCTGACTAGGCCTTTCCACGAATATCCGATAATTTCTTGGAAATTTAGAAGTTTCCGAGACATTTAAAACATATTAAGTTATTGAGAAAATTTTGGGATATTTTAGTGTTTTCCGCGCAATTTTCCAGGCGTAGTCAATCGATAAAAATCGATATCGGAAATCAATCGCTATCAATCGCCCATTGCTATCGATTGATATCGGCATCGATAACAATCGATCACTTACTCACAGAAAAATTTCTTTATCGATTGCTATCGATTAGCAAAAAATGATAACAATCGATAATTCCTGTCTTAAGGAATGCGGTATCGATTTTTAAAAAAATCGACACAATAACCACCCGGACTATCCAAAGATGGCTTTGTTATTGTGTAAAATAATACCTGGAGCAACACGAGACGTTCATCTTCAGCATGCTAGCTAGATTATATTTAGGCCTACTCCCGAGATCTATTCTTACGTTTGTTCCTGATGCAAATAGTTTAAATCACGAGAACACTGACTCTGTTGTTTATTTCGTTTCATCATAATGCCAACGCTACAATGAGACTGGAGCCCGAGGGTTTTACGCTGCTACTTTGTGATGAGTCGTAAGCCAGCTAAGTCCATCTCTTTCTTGAAAAACATAATGGGCCAATGCCAGAACAGCGTCAGACACTATACGTGAAGACATCATGGATGGATTGCTCAATGTTGTCGCAATACTTTGAGCTATTATTGGCGCTATGACACAGCAGAAAATGAAACCAACACTAATATCACATGACACTTTTACAGGGATTTCATTGGGTGGTCTGACCCACGTTGTTGCATAAAGTATTGGCGTGTCCTGGTTTGCGGCCATATTGGTCCAACATAGGTGCAGAGAAGCAATTCAGGAGCAGAGATTTTCAAGGTAAATCTTTCGATTTTCTATTATCTGGGAGTTCTCTCCTATGTTCCGCATACTCTTAGGTTTATCTTTTTGAAAGGCTGTTTTTGTTTCCCGTCATCTTGTTTAATGTCCCGTTTCGGTTCGCTTGAGTGGCATTCGTCCTCCACTAGACCGTTTCGCATGTCGTTGATGGTGGCCAGTGTTGTTTTGATGAAGCTCATTTAGAATTCTTCTGACTGGGCGTTCGTTCGGTTCATTTTCTCGGCAAGTTTTTTCGCGACATGTTATGACTAGGTATGTAAAGACATGTCCCCGTTTTAAAGACAGAGTTGAACAATGTACATCGTCCTCATCCGTTTCCTTGTGCTAAATTTCGAAGCCAAATGGCGCGTGGTTTTCAGGCGTATTCCGTATTTGTTTCTGTATTTGTTTCTGCGTATCAGTGAATATTTGAAACTGGTCACCGTACATGTCAAGTTACAAAGGGCAAAGGAAAATTGGTTAAAATATTGAACAGTCGGTCAGTACGAAATATAGACTGCATACTGCAGACCAGGTAGAAAATGCAGACTAGGTACAAAATACAGACTTCATTCTGCAGATCGGGTACAAAATGCAGACTAGGCACAAAATGCAGACTGCAGACTGCAGACTGCAAACTTGGTACAAAACGCAGACTGAGAATAAAGACTTTTTTCGTCAAATACGTGATAACATGTCATTTTATAACGTACCAAGTGTCAGGCAATCGCTTTTCCGCGGTCATCTTCGATGGAAATTTGGCCTGTTTCTTCATGTATTTTGTTTTTGATAAAGCATCGAGGTCATGCTAGTTCTTAAATATAATGTGAAGCTGTTGTAGTCTTCTCACTTCCCTCGCGAGGTCAGAAGTAAACCCAAATCAAAATACACAATATTCACCAAGAAACAATAATGGTCAATGATCAATCAGTGTTCATTTTTACAACAACTGTCTAATTTCTTGCATGCTGATTGGCTCATTTTTATCATCAATAAGAGTACAGTCGGATAAAATTTTAATTTATGCAAACTTTCAGGTTCAACTTTCGGCTGTCAAACTGTCGACATTTTAACCAATGAGATTTTATGAACTTTTTTAAGGAACCAATCAAAAAGCGAGAAAAGCTATTGACAATGTTCGCATCATTTTAAATAAATTTCACTTACCTTTGTTTACGGCAAGTTTACAGCGTCTTTTCCCCTCATTTATTCCCGGCATTTGACCATTTTGGGGTCTTGTTATTGTTAAAAACAAATTGATGTCAGTTTTTATGCGTCTGTCCTCTTATTATTTTCGTCATAACATTGTCAAAGTTTACTGTGGAACCACTTGCCTGCGGCTCGTGGCTTCACAGCCACGTTGACAATGTTATGACGCAATTTATCATCAGTAAGAGGACAGATGCATAAAAAACTGATGTCAATTTGTTAATTTGTAGCCAAGTTCAGACTTCATGAAATTAGGATGAAGGGAAGAAGACTTGAAGCCAAACTGTTCCTTCCTCTTGATATATTTTCAATGTCAAGGGTAAACTTGCACTGATTGGTACATATGACAAGATTGTGTAGTTAACTAGTTACCAAACAGCGACAAGAAAAGTAAACAAACAACCAGTCACGAAAATGACGCTTTGCTTTTTCCCGGAAAGATTCACCGATTGTTCTTCACAGACAAATTGTACATTGTAGCAAACTTTGACATTCTTCAATTTAATACAAGATTCTTCTTCACTTGTTCTTAGATAATAATAATAATCCCTAATTTGGAAGATGACCACAGAAAACACTTAGTTAGTTATAAAATGACATGTTACAGCATGTTATCACTTATTAGACAAAAACAACAGTGAAAGATGACCGTGGAAAAGCGATTGCGTGACGCTTGCTAAGTTATGTGTATAAAATGACATGCTACCATGTATTTGAGGAAAAAACAGTCTTTATTCTCAGTCTGTGTTTTGTACCTACAATGGGTGACAAAAGTGTTGAGACACTTGGCAGTAAAATTCGATTTTCGAGCGTCTTGGACACATGTCCCCCCCTTCCCCCCTCCCCCAAACAATGTTGATTTTTCTATTTCTTGGACTGCACAGACCACAGCACCAACACAACATTGAATTGGGGGGCCGGGAGTATCAGAGAATCAATGCTAGATGCAAATAACAAAGAACAAGTGCTTAAATATCAAAATGCGTCTTTTCCTAAAAGTGTCTCAACTACTTTTGTCGCCCATTGTAGTCTGCAGTCTGCATTTTGTACCTGGTCTGCATTTTGTCCCCAGTCTGCAGTCTGCTGTCTGCATTTTGTACTGAGCGATTGAACAGTCATTCCTTCACTGCTGAATGTTTGCTGTCTTACATCATGTTTGCATGGAAGCTATAAGCTTATATTTATTAAATCATATCTCGTCTCACTGGGTACGTAAGCTTAAATATTATACTATCAAAATTTTGATGAAGTACTTATTTCAGATTCGTACGTTTGGAACTGTCGTTTTCATCTGCTATTGTCTTTTGGTTTTGTTGGGTTTGCTTTTTGGGGGGGTGGGTGGTGCAATGGTGGGGTGAGGAAGGGAGTTTGTTATCATATGGTTATTTGTGTCAGTGTAGTATTTGACAAGCCCCAGGCATGAGATTTTTATCCTGGTATAGTAATTCCTGGATTTTCAAGGACGACCTAAATGTATTGAAAGATGTCCAAAGATTTCTGAGGACATTCTGATGTCTTCCATCTAAAATAGCTTGGAAGTTTACTGTCATTTGTTGAACTTTTCTTATCTTTGATTGGCTGAAGTGTACATATGCAGTTTAGAACGTCTATTCATAGCTCATATTTCTCAGTTGGATGTGAGAAATTGGTCCATAGGCATGGATATCCACGAGATCAAAGTTCTCTCAGCCTCCATGTAGGTTTAAGACGCCCTTCTTGGGTGTGAGAGTTGGCAAGTATATACAAATGGATTTCTCATTCCAGTCTAAGGGCCATCAAAATCTTGATTCTGTAGTTCCAGAAAATATCCATACCTCCCCCGCAGAAGGGATTTTTTCTAACACCTCCCCACCCTTCTGGAAATTCCAGTTAAGCTTCATACATTTCTTTAAATTTTTTGGTCTTATAGAGTCCCCCACCCCCTAGGAAATTCCAATCCCTTCTGTGGGGGAAGTATGGATATTTTCTGGCACTGGACATATGCAGGAAACTCAATTTGCCTTGGTATTTAAATTGGCTCTTAATTTTCATTTAGAATTCCTGTCATCATGGAGGCTTATGCTGCAGAATTTGTTTCTGAAAGCTGCCCTGCTTTTAAGGATGGCTGTCCCTATTCCAAGCTTACTGAAGATCTTTTCATAGAAGAAATCAAGAAATGCCCTGAGTTCAAACAAGGCTGTCCATTCAAGAGTACAGGCAGTGTGACTGAAATCCTGGAAGAACTATCCAAGATGCCAGAGTCAAAGCACCACACAGGTGTAGCACATGAGCAGCTACTGAACATGCTAAGAGTTGTTCACTCTGAGTCTAAAAGCTTGGAAGAGAAAGTTGGAGAGTGTCCTGTGTTCAAGACAAAGGAAGGATGTCCTTTTAAAGATGCCAGCAAGGAAGGAAAGCCTTTGATAGAGCCACCCACTGCCGTTCTTGAGAGTCTGACAGCATCAGATGTCAGTGGGCTTAAGGAGAAGTGTCCTGCATTTAAAGAAGGATGTCCATTTGCCAAGATGGATAATGAAGCCCTTCTGGAAGAAATCAAGAAATGCCCTGAGTTTAAGGACGGATGTGCTTTCAAGGATGCCAAAACAATAGAAGAAATCTACAGTAAGTTGTCGCAGATGCCGAATAGTGACAAAGATTGTCACCATAAAGATGCTCTCATGAAGACCATGAAAGTCATACACAGTGTTGGCCATGAGAAAGCTGACAAGTGCCCAGTGCTTCAGAAAGAAGGCTGTCCTTTCAAGTTTGTTGAGAGTGAAGGGAAGCCACTTGTCAATCCAGCAGAAACTGTACTTCATGCAGTAGAAGAAAACAAATCAGAGTCTGAAAAACCTGTTGTTCACCTTGTGCCCCTCACAGATTTAAGAGAGACCTGTCCTGCATTTGAATCTGGATGTCCGTTTGTGAAAGTTGGGGAGAGAGACTTTGGAAAAGAGCTGGAACTGTGTCCTGAGTTTAGAGAAGGTTGTCCTTATAAGGACAGTGAAGTTGTAGGAGATATCTATAAGAAGCTTGTCAGTTTACCTTCTTTCTCCACTGAGGGATCCCATGGTGCAAAACTTTTGGACATTTTTAAGCACATTCATGAAGTGTCCCATTCTTTGAGAGAGGAGATGGGTGAATGTCCAGTGTTTGTGACAGATGAGGGATGCCCATTCAAGACAGTCTGCAGTGATGGCAAGCCACTGATTGAAGTGCTGGATGGTCATCGCTGGACAAAGATTCTGGAGAGCTCTGTTGATGATGTCATAGAAAATGTGAGTCAAGAGATTGAGAAAACAGAACCACCAATTCACCTCTCTAAACAGCTTAAAAAAGGTACCAAGAAAGTTCACAGAGAAGCAGAAAATGTTCATTTTGTGAAGGAGTTTGCCAAAGGAAGAATTCAAAGACAGTGGTACAAAGAACTTCTTGCTGATCTCTACTTTGTCTACAGGTAAGATGAAGTGCATTGATATAGTTTTTATTGTGGGGTTGTGTTTATGTTTTTTAAAGAAATAATGAAGGAGTACGTGTAAAATTTACTTGTACTTCTTCATTATTTCTTTAAATACTATTTAATAGTATGTAATGTATGATACACGTAAACACAACAATTATCCTTGCTAAATTTAGACCCACAGATTTTCTATATTTTATGAAACTTTTTGCGAATTTTGAACTTTGTGAAATTAAAAAGCCAATGGGGGCCAACCAAGGCAGTGCTTTAAGGTCATAAGGTGATTATTTTCCATTCTCTCATCACCTGTTTCTGGACATTTTGTTGATAATGTAAGGAGATTTCAAGTGCACATCAGTCCTGAGAATGCACACACGAACTAGGATTTAAAAATTCCTTTGACTGTTCTGAATCTAATTTACTTCACATTCGGAGCCAGCTATGCAGGGCTTTATTACATAGCTGTGCAGTCATATAAGTCTGTTATTTGTAGGGTTACATTTGCTTGGGAAAACCACCATTTCTCATAACATATATTTGAGCAGTTCTAGAAAATATCCACCCCTCCCCCCACAGAAAAGATTGGCATTTCCTGAGGTTGGGGGTTCGATGAGACCAAAGCATTTAAAGAAATGTGTGAAGCTTAATTGGAATTTCCAGAAGGGTTGTTGGGTATTAGAAAAAGTCTCATCCATAGGGGAGGTATATGGATATTTTCTGGAACTATTGCTTAACTTTCCAAATGTTGAGATTTTGTTTACTTGTAACATAGCAGAAGCTCATGAAGTGTCTTGGTATCGCTTGTTAGAGCAGTTTTCAATTAAGCGCCCCAAAACCTGCAAACCGAAGTACTAGCCTGCGTAGCAGGCATATAAAGGGGAGGGGGTAGGGGAGGAGGAAGGGAATTCGCGAAAAAAAAAAAAACAGAGGAGTGGGAGAGGAGAGGGGAAAAGGAACCGAATTCTCTTCCTCCTCCCTCACCTCCTCCCCTTTATACGCCTGCTATGCAGGCTACTAAAGTACCAGTACATGTAATCATTCTGACCTGTTACAAAGGATGCAGACTATACAGTGACCAGATCAAAACTAACAGTTATTACACGTAACTGACACAATGCGTGGGAAAACATGTGCTAATGAGTTACAATTGGTTGTGGTTTTCTTATGGATGGAAAAGTGGCATGCAGTTGATGCATAACCAATTACTCAAATGAAAACTGCTCTACTTGTGTGCAGACAATTTTAACTTGGTGGCAGCCAGTCAGAGATAACTGGGCATTGATATCTGTGCCATTATATTGGTGAGTAATACCAGACCTCTGGTATCCCAAGGGATTCGAAAGAAGCATTCATTGAGAGACATCTGTTCAGGCTAATTATGTTAGAGTGTTTATGGTGCCCATCCTGATCATTTACATGTATCTTTCTTCCCTCAGGGCTCTTGAGGAAGAGAGTGAGAAACACAAGGAACATGAATTGTTCAAGGTGGTGCATTTTCCAAAAGAGCTTGGGCGTCTGCAGTGTTTGGAGGAAGATATGGAGTTCTATTTTGGAGAGGAATGGAAAGACAGAGTTCCGATGTCTGATGCTACAAAAGCCTACGTTGACAGAATCCATGAAGTTGCTGACAAAGATCCTGCTCTGCTGATAGCTCATCACTACACCAGGTACCTGGGCGATTTGTCTGGAGGACAAATCCTGCGCAAAATGGCAATGAAAGCAATGGATCTTCCAAGCACAGGTGAAGGGGTACAGTTTTACGTCTTTGAAAACATCTCTGACACAAAGAAGTTCAAGAACATGTATCGATCACGCCTTGATGAACTGAACATTGATAAAGACAAATCAGATGAGATCGTTAAAGAAGCAAATTATGTTTTCATGCTGAACATATACTTATTTCAAGAGATAGATGCCTTGGCTGGATTTGTGGAAGAGGAACCAAAGAAGAAAAAGCTGACTGTTGAAGAGATTTACAGCAATGTCGACACCAGTAAAGAATCTGCTGGGGTGTGTCCTTTTGCCACTATGGCTAAGAAGCCTGCACAAGTAAACACAGCAACCCCAAGTGGTGAAGTAAGAAGCATCAGTCCAGTGCTTTTGGCCATAATTATTGCAGTTGCAGCTATTGTGATAGGGCTGCTTTTTACCAAAATGAGGTAAACTAGAATGTCCGTTTATGTTACATTAAAAGCAGTTAATCTAACATTAACATAGGAACATACTGTATGGTTTCTTTTAATTAAAATTTGTTACTCTGTAGTTGGTAAACATGGGAAAACCTTTAAGTTACTAAGGCTAAAACTGAATTGTTAAATTATAACTTTCAAAGTCTTGATTATTACTTTTTTGGATTGTTGCCAGAAAATCACAATTATACTCTTGGGGTGTCTGAATTCAGAGTCTTGAAAGCTCAAAAATAGCTTGAGTTAAAACTTTTATGCAGTGAGTAAAAGGGCTCTTGAAGGAAAAGGAAGTATCTGGGAAGACTCAGAATTATCCAGACAGACCCTAGCTCAAAAATKCCATTAATAACTGTTGCAAAGTAAAATTTTGGAACAGTTTTTAGATCGCAGTGTGAAAATGCTGTGATGCAGATAAAAATGAGTCAAAGTTTGATTTTTTATCGAGCAGAGAAATTGAATTGTGATTTTGAATCCATTGTAAACAGTCAATAATCCTTGGTGAGACACAGTACATGTCCAGGGGTTTAATTAGGGTTTTCAGCAAGAGGGCAACTGATTTTCACAGGTGGGCAAAACTATTTGAACTGAACTTTTTTGTAGGACAAGCTTTCTTCTAGATGGTCAAACCAGCTAGGCAAAATTGTCCTTATAGCCAGTCAATTGGCCAGGTGCCCGGCCCTTGATGAAACCCCTACATGTTTATTAGTTAACTAAAGGTATCCCAATAAGGAATTCAAAAGATCAGTAGATATGAGCAACAGGTGTTATGTCAGGTGTGTAGATAAACATAGTTCTTGTCAGGATTTTAACCTAAGATGCCTCTGTTATCTGAAACTCCGCACTAGGCTTAAAAGGTTAAATTTACAGTATATTACTTTTTTCTGTAAAAGATTATAACTTCTCTAATGTTCACGTTGTCTATTTACGCCTGCAAAACCTGAAGGGCAGCATACCCCAGTGGCCTCTTCATGCATTGTGGGCCTGTGGTCTATTAAACATATGATTTGTCTTAATTGTCCACTCCTCAATGGGATTTTTCAAGGGCCATCTTAACTATTTTTTGAAACAAATATCATAAAAAAGCAACATAGTTTAAGATACCAACTGTTAGGAGGCAGACCAGTTGGCTAAATACAAAGCTTGATTAAGGAGTTGAACCCAAAATTACAGCAAAAAAAATTCAGATAGTGGCTAGGGGAGAGGGAAGGCTTAAACCTGGGACCCCCCAGATTACAACATAAGTGCCCTTAAAGTTAAACCATTCTGGCATCACAGTGATGATTACTAAACTTAGATCTGCATTGGGTTATTAAGTGTAAATAACATGAATTACACATGTAACTAGTCACTAACTACATGAAGCTGTTGAGTTGCCAAATTCTCAGAACCAAAATTAAAATAATGTATGGTACTAATCAATGAGGAGAAGTGAAAAAATGTTGTATTGAAAGGGGTGCCTGTGAACAGAATTGCAGTTAATCAAGAGGTAAACCCATCAATAGAGATGATCTTCAGCATAGAGTTTTAGGTCACCTGTGGGAATGAGTATGGAGTTGCATTCAGTTTGGTTAATGGCTGGGCTTAATTAACTGTTCAATTTGCCTTTACAAGAGATATTTTAATGAAATTGTTGACTGTAGATTTGAGTTCTAAGTGTTATTACAATTCTCATAATCAGGAAAATATAGCTAATTTGTTGTGATTAGGACATTGACATTATAGGTAAGCATATAGAAGTATGTGATTTAAGCTCATTATTAGAGTACTTGTACCTAAGAGTATAAGAAGGGCCTCCAAGCTCTGTCAGTCCGTCTCCCCTTTTTGGGCTTTTTTTTTTTTTCAAGAATAATGTTAATACATGCCCATGGTGGGCCTAGAAATGCCCACGGGACCACAAATGCCTGACCCAACTGCAAGGTACAGGGTAAAATTTATATACTGAAGTACATTTAAGGAAATGCCTGGGGAGGGGATGATGGGGCTTGGAATAGATAGAGCCATAAATTGCTGGTTTGATGAACTGAATTGGAGTAATTTATAATAATTTTATTATGATATAGCGATTTTGCTGTGAAGTAATATGTCAATAAAATGGTTGAGTCATTTCCAATGTTGTACCAAGAAATACACGTAGCATTATTGATGAGTTTTCCGGTAGTGATGAACAAAGTTAAATGGAATCAGAATTATACTTGCAAGTGCTTATTTGATTAAAGTTTGAAAACCTGAGCCTTTACTTTGTATCACTTATTTTCTATTGGTTTGATTCTTAATTCGATTGTATCATACATGGCCTTGAAACTAGCAGCTATTGTCGGTAGTATAAGGTTATTTGGTCAAGTGATCAGTGTCAATCAAATGTTTTTGTACCCTCACGTCTTTACTGTCATTGAAGAAATACTAGTACATGTATCCCGGGTACAAGGCTTCCTTGCAAACATAATGAGTTCCTCAGTCAGGTAAACTTCTTTTCTGTTGGTAATATGTGATCGATCATTAACATCCACTGAGAGGGATGGGTATTGAGATTAAAAATTCTCTGGTACTGATAAATGTCTTCCACTTAAAATGTGCTGCACATAAATGAACCTGAGCTATCGTACATGGCCTTTTGGTTTTTTTACCAGTTAACATGGTGTCTAAGAAGAAAAATTTTATCTGGTACCTTTTAGAAAGAAGTATTTTTTAAGCCTCGCGACGAGAATTGTCCCTCATTTATAGGAGCCCCTTTCTCTCTGCCTGGTCGGGGTGGAAAGGGGTACATTTCCCACTCTCGTTCCCAGATCCAACCGTGTCATTGCCGGCTTCACACCTTGGGTTCTGGGTACGAGCAGCCTTTCTTTGTGAGGTGAATTAACACACGTGAGGGTCCGTGTGAGGTAAATAATAGCCGCACGAGACAGTGTTTTTGACCTAGGCGTAAACGGTGAAAACTTCAATAGATGTTTCATAACGTCGGCTCCGCGAAACGGGTCAAACCCGAAATGTTTTGATACTTAAGTTTTAATTGGCACTGACTGTCAAAGTGGCCTCTTGGAAGTCTTTAGGACCCTTTGTTTCTAAGCGGATATTAAGTCTGCTCCCGAAATAAGCGTGTTTTACTGCCTTTATAATAAAACCCTTTAATTTTTCAGTGGACACCTCAGTCGATTGAGAAGTGCCAGGTCCATTCACATTTAATCCCTGCCAGCAATACTTAAAAATTCAGCTTTCATGCCAGAACTATACCACAGTGAAACTCACAGTCTGCTGAATTGATAGACCAACCGAGTGTTGAAGCGTTTTGGGCCAGTCTCCTCTCAATGCAATAGGGATTTGACAACCTTCATTTGCTTTTTTTTTTTCATTTTACATCTGCGGTGATAGGTAAATGCCTTTGCAGATTACAAATGTAGATGTAGATGGACAGATTACAGACAACATTAAAAATGGTCACCAACTTGAATTCAGGACAGCTTGGTCGATGAAATCGCAGTTTATCATAGGGAAACTGAGTAACAAATATCTCAACAAACCTCTATTATGCGGACAAACTCAACGACTAGTTTACCATGGGGATACCAGGGAAGGTACCAATAGAGATTTAATTGTATTTTAAACCTCTTATTCACATGAGTGAAATAGTTGGAGATGTGACGCAAGTTAAATCAACCGACAAATCGACGAAGAAACTTGTTAAGTTGAGTTAACTTAAAGAAACGAAAACTTTCCAGCCTTTATACGTGAAGTCATTCACGAAGCAGCTGGAAGGGGAGCCAGAGCGGGAGTAAGATGTTTGACCGGAAATTCTTAACGGGCATAGTTTACTACTGGCACAGATCGAAGAATGCCAAGAATGAAATTGCTACGATAAAAACTTGGCTACTGACAGCATGTGCATGCCACTTCCGGCCAGAATTTTTACTTCTGTCGTCGTTGGGTTTTTTTCATTTTTAATTCCTTTAATCTCTCTTAGAGCAAAAATCCAGCCAATCCTATCATGTTTGTATCGGAGCCACCTTATCCTTGAGTCAAGATTTCACCGGCTAAGACTGAAGACTCGGTGGAAAGGTGACTGCAGATTTCACTGTATTTGGTCTGTACTCGTGGCCTCGTTCACTATCATTCGGCCAACCGCTCGTGTATATCTGAATTCCTCGTGTTCTTCAATTGAAGTTCTTTCACGAGTTACACTCTGTTTGGCTACATTACTTTGGTGCATCAGTTGAGTCTAGCTCGATAGATTCACGCCTGGTGTTTGAGTGGTCACGGGTTAGAATATCGCTGGGAGATACGGATTCTAACTTCGTCTCGCACTGTACGATGTACATTTGCAGATTTCTCACTTTCTTCAACATGTAGTTCACAAAGAAAGAAGTCCATACTATGTTATGTACCTTTAGATAAAACAAAGCTTTTTAGTGAATGAAGTTGGGCTTTTTGGATCCTCATTTCAAGACTGAATCATCTTTGTATTTTCTTTTAGGATTCTTGTTTTCGACCTCCTCGCCTCCTCTCTGGCCATGGCTCTCTGGGTTCCGGCATATGCCAGGAGAAGGTGATTTGTGAGGATCGCGTGTTAGCAGCTGTAAAATGACTGTTTCACATTTGACTTTTACTTTTAAAGGTTTCTCCTTTATTTACTTTCATGTTAGCTAATCTGAAAAGCCAGGATAAAACAAAAATCGCCAGCTGCGCCTCCCCTGGCCTATCGCCCACCTTGTTGCAGTAAGTTTTTACATACTAGCAGTAAAAGAGTTCACATCTGATATCACTGTAAATCCCGGATTAGCGTTAAGCAGCATGTTACCCGTCCCTTCCGGTCACTAAACCATCTTAAATTCTCTTTCTCCTTAGCAGCCACTAGACAAGATACCACTAACTAAAGATGGGCCAAGTAATGATCAATGCGCATGTGTAGAGGGCTACCGATCGATAATACTACTGAAGTTTGATAGAATGTTAAATGACTTTCTCTTGGACTAGCTGATGTGTACTTAATCCCTTGCAGTCTTTGTACTTACCAGATTGATAGAATGTATCAACAAATGGAAGTTTTATAGAACTATTTTCAACTTGACTTTTTACCGTTCACAAGTTTGCTATGAATGAGAAAGGCGACATCCAGTTCAGTGATGGATTTACGCGAATGAGCCAATGGCCACCTGAAGATGTTAGGGGTTTAACAGACAAACGAGGCAAATAGATTATCTGCACCTAACAAATCGGCTTAATTTTGTGCAAATTTACTACATCTGTATCTCTATAGAAATTAAATGCTTGCTTCTTCAAGCGCCATGCGAGTCCATGCGAAGTAGTCTTCATTGAGCTCACTCTACCATTGAGCTGACCGCTGATCGGTTAGCTAAGTGGTAGAGCACCGGACTAGCGTGCGGGAGGTCGCGGGTTCAAACCCCGGCCGGACCAACACTCAGGGTCTGTAAATAATTGAGGAGAAAGTGCTGCCTTTATAATGACATCTGCAAATGGTTAAACTTTCTAGTCTTCTCGGATAAGGACGATAAACCGTAGGCCCCGTCTCACAACTCCTCATAATTAATTCTGTGAGACGGAAAAGAACACACACACTGATCGAAAAGAGTAGGGGACGTAGTTCCCGGTGTGGTGGTCTATCTCTCTCATCTGATGGTTGAATGCTCGGAGAGTATTAGTTGCATAAGCTACTCTGAAATCCGAGGGTAAATGAAGTACTCTATGTATAGAATCGTTCAACAGATTGATAAGCCAAATTAAAACTCAGTTGGCCCTCGTCTGTTTCAACTTCGGTAAAGATAAACACCGCGGTAATAAAGAAGTGTTTTATGTTAGGGAGGGAGAAAACTTTAATCGCTAGACACGTTTCATTACAAAAAGGCGTACGTGGGTGAAAAACGTGCACGTGTGGCTTCCTAGACTTCTCATGTCCGTGTTCCAAGTCATGTTGATGGTTTTGACAACTTTTACCCCAGTGACGTTATTTGGCCTATATTCGTGACGGTGATGACAAAAGTTACATCATGAAACTTTCGTTTGCACGTCAATATATTTTCTGTTGTTGTTCTTTCTTCAAGTCGTTAAAAATAAGGGAAGCGGGAAGAGAAACCGGTTATATCTGGTTCGTGCGCTGAAGTTAACTTGACCTCAAAACGTGCGCACTGGAACACACAGCTGGACATCTAAATTGTTACATCCCAAAGGTATTAAAAAACACTTGAATGATATTTACAATACACGAGTGCTGGCACATAGCTTGGACGTGTAGAGCGTTATTTCCATGATCACGGCATGTTCATGGCGAATCTTTTAAAAGTTGTTTTAATTTTTGTCGGTTTTGTGGTCACTAGATGTGTTCATATTTGGATCAAAGGTCGTTCAAGTTTCCACACAGTACGGAGTCTGTTAATTCACTTTCTTCTGAACCGCTTTATATATCTTCTTGGAGCCAAAGCTAAGCGAAAGCTTGAGCAAGACACAAAGAATTTTCGTCAAGTCCAAGAAAAGTTTTTGTTGAATATTCTGGAGAGAAATTCAGAGACTAAATATGGAAGAAAGTACAAGTTTACCCACATAACGAATCGGCGCGGGTTTACAGTCAGTCATCCCATCACAAAATACAGTCACTACAAGAGTTTAGTTGGTAGGTATTTATACTCAGTTTTCAGGTATTTATAGCAAGTAATACAAGCCCCTAACACCGGCGGGTGGTAAAAACCAAACCCTTATCACATAATATCCCCTCAGTCAAAACTTTTCAAAGTTGATTTAATACTGGGAGATGGGATTACAGATTTAGCAAGTGGTCTGGAATAGGTTGCGAAATTTTGACAAGGGAGTCTCAAGTGAGACGAAATTAAGAGTCCTATTGGCAAATTGTTACTTTCACGATGAAGCAATTGGTTTTAATAATGGTACGGAATTATGAGTTTGTACCCGAGAAGGTACTGACCAAAACAAATGATTATTAGCTATTCAGTTATTTTGGTGTGGGCGAGAGCACGAGGTTTATGCTCGATCTGTTTGATAACGAGATGTTTTGACCCCTTGGTGTTCCACCGCGCTATAACTGCACGCCATGAGACTAAAAGACAGTGAGTGACAAAAAGAAATTAAAAACAAGGAAGATAACATTGTTGCTACGCTCTTTTTGGCAGCTCCCATTTTTCAGGGACACCAAACGGATCGTTTCGGTAAATTCTCTGTTCGCAAGGCCTTTAATCCCCTCGGACTTTCGTGATATGAGAAATTTAATGCCTGTTGTTTTCTAGTTGATAAAAGTGTCGTTTTGAGCACCGAAAAATAGTCAGCTATAATTTTCCCGAGAAATGGACAAGGAAGTCGAAATAGATTCGAAACTGAATTCAAGTTGCGCTAGAATGAAAACAGATAAACATTTTATGGCGCAGCCTAAAACTAAACTCCAGGTAGCGTAAAACACTACCATAGGGAAGTGTGTTTCATTTCTAAGTCATCACTCTTGCCAACAGTATTAAAAGGACATAGACTATGTCAAAAACTAGAGATCATCTCAATGGCTTAAAAATATATTCGTCGGTAAGGAGGAGAGAACATAATAAATAAGTGAAACTATTTCTACGCTGGCGGTTTCAAATGGATAGGAAAATAGAGGATGTTTTCTTGATTTACCACAAAATTATCAGAACTGAAATTAAGAGTTAAGCATAGTAAATAAGGAAAGTGAATGTTCATATTTCGGGCATACATTTTTCGGAGAGTTCATCTCGAGACCATGAAAAACCTCTGTGATTTTTGTGAGGAAGTCTGGGAAATTTTTTGGTTGCTCAATCATTTTACAGCTTTAACATAACACTTCATACAACGCTTGCGCTAAAAAAAATATTTATT